CGGAAATTCCAAGCGGGAGGTGGCAATTGCTGGAGGGTTTTACGACCCTTTGTCTCTAAGCATGGTAATTTGCAAATGGAACTTGAATCGAAATTACTAAATATTCTCAGGACACTAATACATTGCCTATGTACCAACATTTAATATACACTCTCGTTTAGACAGGGGTGTGAAGTAACGAATTACAAATACTCACGTTACAGTAATTAAGTAGTTTTTATCAGTAATTGTACTTTGAGTAGTTTAAAAATTGTGTACTTTTACTTGAGTAAATTTTAAGTGATGTATCGGTACTTTTACTCCGCTATTTTCCTCCGTTTGTGGTCGTTACATGCTAAATGACTTCTAATTTTACAATGTTTCTGATATAGCAGCTGATCATGCGATTAGTTGTGATTTAATTTTTATCTTTGATTATTCTGGGTATCCCATATTTTTTAATTATTCATTCATTACACTCTAAAAACAGCTGGGTTAAAAACAACACAACTTGGGTTAATTTGGCAACCAAGCGCTGGGTCAAAAAGGGACAAACACAGCGCTGGGTTATTTTAACCCAACAAGTTGGATTATTATGTTTGACCCAGCATGCTGGGTTGCTTTTTTATGGTTTAAAATTACTACACTGCTAGGCTAAAATGAACCAAAATCGAGCTAGACATTAAACCTTCAAATCTCTGTTACACACACAGAATGACTATCAAAAAGTAAATATGTATTTAAAACAAGAGAAAACAGTCAAAAGTAACATGCATGTAAGAAGAAATGCAGAGAAGTAGGGCATTAACAGCTACAGCGTTTATAAATGAAGCATTGAACATTTGTTGAATATAACTTTTAAGATCAAATTTGACTTTTTTGGTAAATTTTATATATTGTATAAAAATATTATACAAAAACACTGTTATACAATAGTTGTACAATTAGTTAATAATGAAGTTATTTACAAACTATTATGGCATGACAGTAAATAAAACACAACATTAACACTGATATTATAACTTTTATCAGAAACATATGTGTGAAAGAATGTGAGCTTGTGAATGAATGACAGTGTAAACTCAATTTCTACTAAACAACACAGAACAAGCATTTAACATTTAGTTTTTTACAAATTATACACATGCAGTTTGTTTCATAGTCCATGAATACAGATCAGGCATCGCTGCCAATTTTCATGATCTCTTTAGCATAATTGACGTAGTCATGAAGAAGCCCCAGCAGCACAGCAAAGGCATGTGTCTCCTCCTTTAAAACCACTGTTGCATCAGTTTGGGGGACAGGACACTCTCCTCTTTGACCAGCATTCATGCCAGTCACCACCTGTTCTTCATCAGTGGCCTAAAAAGAGAAAAACATTTGAAAAAAGAAAACATTTAATTAAAATCTATCCATTTTCAGACAGAGGTGCATCCACATCATTAAGGATAGGTAAATAGTTTTATCATTTCAACCACTTTGTGTGGTTGTTTAATGTCTCTGTAATGGCAGCACTAGTGTGAGGGCATGTAATATTGTTTAAATAAATATATTGCTTTCAGAAAGCTACTTCTTTACTGAAACATTAAAACAGACATGACATTCACATACCTCACAAATTTTCATGTACGTGGAGGGCTGCTCTTTAAAGGGTTAGTTCACCAAAAAATGAAAATGGTCATCATTTATTCACCCCCGTGTCGTTCCAAACCCATTCAACTCTGCACATTTTTGGAACACAAATACATATATTTAATATTCTCTTAATTTTTGTCCTCTATTGCAAGTCTGGAAGACCAGTATTTTCTTCTGAACAGACATGTTCGCTATGATATAATTTAAGATTTATTCATATATAAATATTGGCATGGATTTCTTCTACAATAACTCTGTATTTTTGAAGCTTGAAAATACTGATTATCTAGACTTTCAATGGATTAACAAAAATGGCGGCTTCTCGCACTGGTGTTGTCGAGATACGTCCGATGTTAACGTGACGTGCATGCTCTCTTTCACGTCTGCGTTCCCAACCCAGCACCACTGGGTTATTGATCAAGACCAATTTTCAACCCAAAATTGAGTTAAAACAACCCAACGTCCTTACCCAGCGGTCTCAACCCAGCATGTGGGTTGAAAAAACAACCCAGCGGTTTTTAGAGTGTAGGGACCCGGTATCGCATAGAGAACTTACACCGGCCCGTCAGAGTCTCACGGACACAAACTCGTCAGTTCTGATCTTAGACAGAGGATGCAGGGTAAATATCTACCTTAACGTTGGCCGTGCTCTGCTTGCTCACAACAAAAAGCATAGTTTTTGTATATTCAGGCAGTGATAGTCAGAAATCGAAAAAGATCTCAGACGATGTGCCCCATGCTCCATTCATTGAGCCGTCCATATGATCGATCCTGAACACAGATTTGTGGTAATACCAGACTCCACTTTAATCTACTAGAAATAACGAGTTCAGAAAAGATCAGAATAAATCAAATATAACATTTTATTTGTCAGGTAAGAATGTATCATGCCAATTACATAATTAAACAATTAGAAGCCAATTCAGAATTAATTCAGTTCCAATTCAGATAAATACATAACATCAATTTCTTGATGGGGTTGTAAATGAGCAAGGAAGGGAGTTTGGGCAAGGTGGTGTCATTTGCTCTGTTTGAAGATCTCTTCTCCAGATGAATTTCATTGTTTTGTTGCATGGCATCTGTTTTGTGCGAGTTCCTGTAATTTGGTTTCATGGGGAAATCATTTTGGTTCTTACATAGTTTCCTGATACAGTGTTCTTGACATGGGAAAGGGGTAACTCTGTGAATTAACTCCATGTGTATATATATCCACTGTATTTTATGAACCTAGACCTTTTGAAGACGGTAACACAGAAGACTGTGGAGACATGATTTAATTATTATTTGCACATATGCCTGTGGATACAAATATGATTATTCTGGTGGCAATATTGTCAGAGAAACCTAAACATCTGTGCCCTGAACACTGCTTTATTCTTGCTCTTGACTACAAAACACAAACTCACATTGACCAGATTTGTCAGATGAGGAACATGGGTGTCAGGCTCCTCCTCTGCAGGTCACATGAATTCTTTGAAAAGACCTTCACAATGATTTTCCAAAGCAAAATTATCAAGCAACGTTGCATCTTTTCCTCCAGTTCTTTTCTTAATAATAATTGCTATATTAATAATCACAATATAGCTTTTATATTTTATCGTTGTTATTATAAACAAGAGGAGATGCAAAAAAGAACTAATGTAAGAAAGAAACAAGTGTACAGTGCATTACTTATTTTACACCTAAAAAGCATTGAAGAAAAACAAATAATCAAATATATAAATCCCTTTAGTGTGTTCATTACAAATACAGTAAATTGATTATTAAAACTACAAAAGCAGCTCAATCAAGAGCAGCGAGTGATTACCTGTTTTATTTTATTGTTAGATTAACATTAATGCAACAGACAACCTATATTAAGACCTACTGTAATGCATGGATCTAATTTAATGTTACACATCAGATGTTTTCAACAGTTCCCCAAACATTCACTTAAGGCTACTTTAACTGATTATGTTTGCGTGAACACATAAATACTGCAATTCTGTGTATATTTCTATATTTATCGGGGTCGTGCACTGCCGGAAGCGAATGGAGGAAAGGTGTACAAATAAAGATCATTTTTGATGTTTCAATGTTTTTCGATTGCTATTTGGAGCATTGGGATCGCTAGATGAGGGCTTGATGAACTCATTTTTGTGAAAACCTCAAATTCGACCAAAATCAACATTTTCAACTTTTTTGCGTGCAGCTCAAAATGACACCTTGCGCATTCCAACTCATTTTGCCAGCACGGCTCACATATGCTTAAAATGTAAATGTAACACTGATCTTAACGTTTAGTGAGAATATTGAGATTAAACAGCACAATGATGTGATCTGATCTGTAGTTCCAGGAGCAACTCCAGCAGCAGATCCAGATGAGACTGATGTGATTCCTGAGAGGAAAAACCAGATCAGGCTGGTTCTGCTGGGGAAAACTGGAGTTGGGAAAAGCGCCACTGGAAACATCATAATTGGGAGAAACGTGTTCAAATCCTCCATCAGTTCAAACTCTGAAACTAAACAGTGCCAGTCAGAAACTGCGGTCAGGATGGGTAAAGAGATCGCAGTGACTGACACTCCTGGACTTTATGATAATAAACTCAGTGAAGACAAAATTATAACCGAAATAGGTAAATGCATAACATTATCATCTCCAGGACCACACGCTTTTATTATTGTCATTAAATTGGGTCGATTCACTGAGGAGGAGAAAAACACAATAAAAGAGCTGAAAGAAGTGTTTGGAGAACAGATAGAAAAATATTCCATGATCATCTTCACTCATAAAGATCAGTTAGAGAAGAAAAATATGACCATTGAGCAGTTTCTACAGGAAAGTGATCCAGATCTTAAAGAACTTGTACAAAGTTGTGGAAACAGATTCTTCTGTCTGGACAATGAGTCTGCTGGTTACCCACAAATCAAAGATCTGATCAGTAAAATAGAGACTATGGTGGAAGAAAATGGAAGCCACTTTACAAATGACATGTTTGAGGAAGCAGAGAAATACATTCAGGAGATTCAGAAGCAAACTTTACGTGAGAAAGTGAAGCAGTTCAAAGAGAAGAACAAACGGGTCAATCAATCAGAATGGCAGAAAATGTACAGACGTTTAGTTGAGGAATCACGACGAGAAGCGCTGCTTGGTGCCATTGCTCATCTCTACATAGCAGCTGATGACCAGTATGTGATGGTGAATATTCCTGAGGAGAAAGAGAGTGAAATAAAGGAAGCTAAGAGCAAAAGAATCAGCCGTAGGAAAGCCGTTCGACTTGCATTCAGAGCCACAGGGACACTAGCAAAACAGAAGATGTGTAGAGTTCAGTGAGAGACTCAATAATGATCAAACTTAGACTTTGGGCTTTTTTCTTGCTAATGAATTTTCTTCTTGTTCATCTATGAAATCAGATCTGACCTAAAATGAAGATTAACGATCCTTTATTGGCATATTTTGCTTATAGAAGCTTACTTGATGTGTCAAATTTCATACACTAAAATGTTATGCAATAGTCTCTGCGATACACCAATACACACCTGCATTACATTCATCTGAGCATGACTGAATCTGTGACACTCAATCAGTGCTGTTCAATCACATGACTCTTTGTTAATCTGATATCTGATTCATGAATGTTAATTTCATTATATCTGTATTTAGAGAAAATACACTTCAGCGAAGAATGAACGAAAGGAATATCAGAATATGAAATTAATAAATGCTTAAATGACATTTGGTTCAATATTGTTTGTGAGTTCATTGGTTTCATCTTTAGTTTGGGTCTTAATGACTTATATTACTTTTCTCTGGTTGCTGTAACTGTGTGTTTATGAAGCACATTCATTATGGCCCAAAAAAAAAAAAGGCAAGATGACAGGGTGGCCCAAAAACAGAGTGTCGCCTCTCGCGCTCCCCCACGTCAGGACCAGGGGTCTAAACAGTGCTCTGGGTCGGGGGCTTCAAAGCCTTAACCAGATCTAAGAACTATTCTGGAGGCTAAGAAGTCCTCGACGAAGAAGTCCTGACACCAGTGCCTCAGGACTTTTTGAGAGCGGCGTTCACCGCATTACACGGTGCCTGTCTCTCCTCAGTGCCCTCAGGAGATCATTCTTCCAACCCTGCCGATGCTACCGGGCGCAACGGTCTCCCGCGAGTGCTTCTCTCAGCTACTGCCCGGAAACAGTAGTGGTACTAAGTGGCTCGCTACCTCTGCGGAGTACCGTGAGTCCTGTATTATGCTTTTTACTGAGACTTGGTTACAACCAGAGATCCCTGACGGTCTTGTTGAAATAGAGGGGATCTCACACATTCTCTCTGATAGGAGCGAGCTGTCGGGAAAAAGCAAAGGGGTTGGGCTCTGCCTGTACATAAATGACAAGTGGTGCAGACAGCACACAGTTCGGAAGAACATTTGTAACTCTGATGTAGAAGTCTCAGGCCATTCTATCTACCACGTGAGTTTGGTAACATCCTTATTTGCTCTGTTTATGTACCCCCCAACGGTAATACCTCATGAGTTGTGACACAGGTGGCAGACTGTGTTCATGAACAATTACAGCGCACCCCAAATGCCCCCATTTTTATCCTTGGATAATTTAATCATTGTAATTTAAATACTGCACTTCCAGGTTTTGAACAGTACATTAAATGTGTTACCAGGAAGAATAGGACTTTGGACAAATGCTATGGAAATTTAAAACATGCATATACAGCCATAGCTAAACCTCCCTTGTCTAACTCTGACCATACTACTGTTCATCTGATTCCTACATATAAGACAGCCCTAAAGAGTTGTAAACCCTTGGTTAAAACTATTAATGTATGGTCAGAAGACAGCATAGAAACACTTAAAGGTTGTTTTTTATGCACAAACTGGGATATTTTCTCTAGGGAGCTAAGCCTGGATAATGCCACAGAAACTACCACAGAATATATAAAGTTCTGTGTTGATACTGTGATTCCAAGACGTAAAATAAAAGTATACCCCAACAACAAACCTTATATCACAAAGGAGGTGAAGGACTCTATTAATGTTCCTAGGAGGTTTAATGAGATTATTCACTGTTCTAAACATAAACCCTTGGTTAAAACTATTAATGTATGGTCAGAAGACAGCATAGAAACACTTAAAGGTTGTTTTTTATGCACAAACTGGGATATTTTCTCTAGGGAGCTAAGCCTGGATAATGCCACAGAAACTACCACAGAATATATAAAGTTCTGTGTTGATACTGTGATTCCAAGACGTAAAATAAAAGTATACCCCAACAACAAACCTTATATCACAAAGGAGGTGAAGGACTCTATTAATGTTCCTAGGAGGTTTAATGAGATTATTCACTGTTCTAAACAGAACTCTGGGATTAGAGATATCACTGTTAATAATTGTAGAATACTATGCCATTTCTGCAGCTTTGAGAGCATTTTGGTATTCAATTTGATGCTGATCAAACATTGATCTATGAACTGTTAGACCGTGTTTTTTTTTGTATCTCCTCTCTAACTGCCTGCCTTTAGCTTTCATACTACGTAACTCAGATGTATACCATGGAGATGATCTCTTGAAAGAAACAACACGTTTTTTCAGAGGGGCAATCTCATGTGTTATATTGGTCAACCGAGGCCACAACCGATAAGTCACCAATAGTAAATCTAAGATGGTCAGGATCACTTATTTTCCTAAAATAGATAACACGCTCTTTCACAGTCTGCAAGGAAGGAGTAATCAAATTGAACGTGAGGAGCTTGTGGTCACTTATACAAACATCAGGACATTCAAGTTGTTCAAGGTTTACTCCTGCAATCCAGATCTAATGTGTGACTGTGTTTATGCGTTGGAAAGTTAACATGCTCAGTGAGATTAAAACATTCTAGAATGTCCATAAAGCTCACCGTATTAGCGCAATCCACATTATCAACATGAACGTTTAAATCACCAGTTAAAAGAACAACTGGAAAGATTGCACTGGCAAGCGTCAGAAACTCAGTCAATTCTGAGAAAAACACAGAGTTAGGTTTGGGAGGACGATAAATATTTAACACCAAAACTGGTGAGAGACCATTCAGTTTAAATGTCAAGCATTCAAATGATGAAAACCAAGGCAATGAAACTTCAGTTAAAGCAACATCAGATCGATAAATGACAGCAAGACCACCACCTCTACCAGTGGAACGTAGCCGATCTATATAAGTGAAGCCAGGCAGAGCACACATATTTAGATTATGATAGTCATTTGTCTGATGCCACGTTTCACAGAGGCAGAAAAAGTCCAGTTCTTTGTCCACAACAATGTCACCGATTGAAGCCACTTTGTTGTTTATAGAGCGAGCGTTCAGATGTGCAAACCTGATTGTGTCAAGACGGACCCCTCCACTGGATGCAGTAGACTTCTGAAGGTAGGAAACGTTTGCAGAACAAACATAACGTGGAGATAGATGACGACGATCCAAGCGCCTCTGAGTTTATACTGGCACCGCTTACTTGCAAATTCTGGCGGGAGCCTCGATGAACGTATTTTGGCCAGCGGAGGAGATGTAGCAAGCGCAGTCCAGGACACATGTAGCAAGAGGTGCAGAATGTTTATACTGAAAAAGTTCCAAAACAGAGTATTGTAGCATGTTGAAGTCCGGGTGATCAAAGTAAATCTTGCCGTAAACTCAAAATAAAACCATAATAAAAGCAAATAAAATCCAGGAAGGCCACATATTAGCAGCAGGTAAATGCCAATAGACGAATAGGAAAAAATCCAAGCGTCAAGAGGCAGCAAAAGTCACCACTCGAGAGACATCAGCCGATCCAACATCAAAATCAAAAACATTAAAACAAAAAACTATAAATTTTAACGCACTGATGGAGAAGCGACAACCACATTGCATCAGCGTCCTCTCACACCGCCATTATTTGTCTTCTAGAATTATCTCCCCAACCCAGTCAATAAAGTACTCTTTAAAACAGTCCATTAGTTCCTCATAATAAAGTCCAGAAACCAACTGCAGCTCACCCTCAGCGGTGGGAGTGTGGGCGGGGCTTTCCTCCAGGCCCTCGATCTCCACCAAAACTCCCTCGGAGATGTGCGATGTTGCCGGCTCACACACCTGGTCAGACGACTCTTGAGGCTCAGGCTCCGGGGCGATGATCGGCTCTGTCGCGGTTTTATGCGCTGGCTCTCGTGTCGAATTAACTAATCAAGGGAGCATGGAAAACTAGGTCAAGAAACAAAACAGGAACAGGGAAAAACAAACTAAAAGTCGATGACCGTTACAGAAACATCTTTCTGGAAAAGTTTTTTTTTTTTTTTATTTAAATATGTGTAAATGAGTGTGTTTTGTCGTTTAAAAATCTTTTAAAAAAGCCCTAAAAAATTATCTTGATCTTCATCAATAACGTGAGATGGGCGCCACCATGTTTGTTCGCGATGCAGTTCAGAGAGTCCTGTCAGGCGGATTTACAGCACATAAATGTATCAGTTTCTCCCGAAATACATGTACGTAAGTGGCCGGTGAACTGTGAGAAGAAAAGTGTGAACTTTATAGTTACTTACACTATGTGTATCTGATATTAATAAAACACGTTGTCAAGTTATATTTTAATGGATTGTTATTGCTGCTTCCATAAACATCCGTGTGTATTTTGCGAATTCTAAATGTATTGTTTTACTAGTACTATTGTGTTTCATCCATGCCTTATTTTCCAACAAACAGGCAGAGAGAGTTGAAGAGGAGGAAGTGAGATCAGGCTGAGTGCTAATATAAATCTGGGTTTCATCAGCATAACAGTGATAGCTCAGGCCATACTTCTGAATAATCTGTCCCAGAGGCAGCACATATATACTAAATAAAACAGGACCCAAAACTGACCCATGAGGGATACCCTGACACAAAGGCAGTCTGAGATCTATTAGTACCCATATAAACAAATTGGGTGCGATCTGAGAGGTAAGTTTCAAACCAGTTTAACACAGTACCCGACAGACCAATTCTCCTACATAATCTGTCCAATAATATGCTGTGACATACAGTGTCAAATGCAGCACTAAGATCTAACAAAACCAAAATGCCACATGCCCCAGAATCAGTGTTTGTATAAAGACGGGTTTGAAGTATCAGCAGTATCAATCCCCAGGCTTTTTAAGAACTGGCTTCACTGCTGCCATCTTTGAAGCAGGAGAGACAGTGCCTGCATTGAGTGAAACATTAACAACAGTGATGTGGGTACAATAACTGGCAGACAGTTTTTTTTTTTCAAAACAGTAGTAGGAAGTGGATCAAGTATGCAAGTAGTTGAATTCATTGACAAAACAAGTTTGGAAATAAAATCTAAATCAACAGCATTGAAACTTGAAACAAAAAAAAGACCAGAGAAATTAGGCGGATGCAACTCAAGTTCAGAAGCATCATCACAGGTAATAGCACTATAAATATTCTCTATTTTGGATGTAAAATACTTGAGAAACTCATTACTCTGCTCAGTGGTGGAAAAATTAATGTTACTAGTAGGTTTAATACGATTATTGACTGTTCTGAACAAGAGTCTGGGATTGGAGATGTCACTACTAATGAGAGCAGAATAATATGCCACTTTTGCAGCTTTGAGAGCATTATGATACTAAATCGGATGCTGATCAAACATTGATCTATGAACTGTTAGGCCAGATTTTTGTATTTCTGCTCTAACTGCCTGCCTAAAGCCTCCATTTGGCGTAACTTAGGTGTATACCAAGGAGATGAGCTCTTAAAAGAAACAACACATTTTTTTCAGAGGGACAAGCTCATCCAGAATAAATGTAAAAGCAGCGTTATATTGGTCAATGGAGGCCATAACAGGTAAGTCACCAATAGTATGACTAAGATGGTCAAAATCAATATCAGTGATTTTCCTGAAACTGATAACACGTTCTTTCACAGTCTGCAAAGGAGAAGGAGTCAGATTGATCGTAACTTGTGGCCACTTATACAACCATCAGTACACTCAAGTTGTTCAATAATTACTCCTGAAGTGCAAACCAGATCTAATATATGACCGTGTTTATGTGCTGGAAAGTTAACATGCTGGGTGAAGTTAAAACATTCTAGAGTATCCATAAAGCTCACAGTATTATTGCAATCCAAGTTGTCAACGTGAATGTTTAAATCACCCGTTAAAAGAATAACTGGGCAGATTGACAAGTGTCAAAAGCTCAATAAATTCTGAAAAAAAGACAGAATTAAGTTTGGGAGGACAATAGATGTTTAAGACAAGAACTGGTGAGAGACCATTAATTTCAAATGTCAAGCATTCAAATGATGAAAAGCAAGGCAATGAGACCTCAGTCACTGCAACATCAGACCTATAAATGACAGCAAGACCACCACCTCTACCAGTGGAACGTAGCCGATCTATATAAGTGTAGCCAGGCAGAGCACACAGCTTTAGATTGAAATAGTCATTTGTCTGATGCCACGTTTCACAGAGGCAGAAAAAGTCCAGTTCTTTGTCCACAACAATGTCACCGATTGAAGCCACTTTGTTGTTTATAGAGCGAGCGTTCAGATGTGCAAACCTGATTGTGTCAAGACGGACCCCTCCACTGGATGCAGTAGACTTCTGAAGGTAGGAAACGTTTGCAGAACAAACATAACGTGGAGATAGATGACGACGATCCAAGCGCCTCTGAGTTTATACTGGCACCGCTTACTTGCAAATTCTGGCGGGAGCCTCGATGAACGTATTTTGGCCAGCGGAGGAGATGTAGCAAGCGCAGTCCAGGACACATGTAGCAAGAGGTGCAGAATGTTTATACTGAAAAAGTTCCAAAACAGAGTATTGTAGCATGTTGAAGTCCGGGTGATCAAAGTAAATCTTGCCGTAAACTCAAAATAAAACCATAATAAAAGCAAATAAAATCCAGGAAGGCCACATATTAGCAGCAGGTAAATGCCAATAGACGAATAGGAAAAAATCCAAGCGTCAAGAGGCAGCAAAAGTCACCACTCGAGAGACATCAGCCGATCCAACATCAAAATCAAAAACATTAAAACAAAAAACAATAAATTTTAACGCACTGATGGAGAAGCGGCAACCACATTGCGTCAGCGTCCTCTCACACCGCCATTATTTGTCTTCTAGAATTATCTCCCCAACCCAGTCAATAAAGTACTCTTTAAAACAGTCCATTAGTTCCTCATAATAAAGTCCAGAAACCAACTGCAGCTCACCCTCAGCGGTGGGAGTGTGGGCGGGGCTTTCCTCCAGGCCCTCGATCTCCACCAAAACTCCCTCGGAGATGTGCGATGTTGCCGGCTCACACACCTGGTCAGACGACTCTTGAGGCTCAGGCTCCGGGGCGATGATCGGCTCTGTCGCGGTTTTATGCGCTGGCTCTCGTGTCGAATTAACTAATCAAGGGAGCATGGAAAACTAGGTCAAGAAACAAAACAGGAACAGGGAAAAACAAACTAAAAGTCGATGACCGTTACAGAAACATCTTTCTGGAAAAGTTTTTTTTTTTTTTTTTCTGGCTTTTCAAAACTCTTTACACGTTGAATCAAGGGAGCATGGAAAACTAGGTCAAGAAACAAAACAGGAACAGGGAAAAACAAAATAAAAGTCGATGACCGTTACAGAAACATCTTTCTGGAAAAGTTTTTTTTTTTTTTTTTGCTGGCTGTTCAAAACTCTTCACACGTTGATCACTTGTGTGCAGCTTCTCTCCATTGTGGATCCTCTAATGATTTTTCCGAGATCCTGACTGATTGAATCAGTGTGAACACTTATAAGATTGGTTCACCAGAAATTTCTCAGCTGTAAAAAACTCTTTCCACACAAAGAACACATGTGAGGCTTCTTCTTTGAATGAACGTGCAGGTGCTGCTTCAGGTTTTCTGCCCTAACAAATATTTCGCTGCACTGATCACAGTTAAATTGTCTTTCTCCAGAGTGTGAAAGCAGATGTCCCTAAAGACTGTTTGCTTGTGCAAAGCTCTTGCCTCATTGATCACATGTGTGCCGCTTCTATCCATTATGAATTTTGCATAGTAATCATTGTGAATCTGGTTAGTAATGTGTGAAGCTGGTAATGCTGCTTGTGGAGTTGTTTAATCCTCCTCTGCTGAGATCTCGAGAGATTCCATGTCTTCTTTCATATACAATTCATTTAATCTGAGGCTGGAAGCCAGTTGTGTTTCTGCTCATCTCATTTTTAAAAATAAAACTTTTTTTTTTCTTTTTTTTTAATTGACTTTACAGTAGTTATTATTATTATTATTGTTGTTATTAAAACTTATTCATTATAATTTAATAGAGAAATGCATTTCACGACATACTTCAAGAAATATGTCTTTATATTTGGAGAAACTGTGATGATTAGTGCTGGTAAATAGCCATGGAATTAAATAAAACATGTAACCCTATAGTGTTTTATCTCTGTGTCTCAAGGTTCAAAGTTCCAGGTGTGTCAGTAGTAGCTGCTTCAGTGCACACTTGACATGGCGGACAGTACAGGTAAGAATTCTAGAAAATATTTAACATTTTCTTGTTTGTTGTTTCTTCCGTGATTTATCTTAGTGAAATCCCACTATAGGCAACAATTTACAGTTCATCTTTTATGTTATTTTAGTTTATTTTTTTAATGTTTGTAAATTCCATTTCATGTTCAATAATATCTTTCATACCAGGAAATGAAAGCAAAAAAAAAAAGTGTTAAATCAGTTAATATGCTATAAGAAACACCAAAGCCAATGCACTGACATTAATAAAATGCCGATTTATTTACTAAAATGTACTAAAAAGGGTCTACCACTCCATTGCTGTGGAATTTGTGGTTGTTGGCATATAGTTATAGTGCATGTACTGGCTTTTATTATGTGTCCTATCTTTTATATCCACCTTAGTTTAATCTAAAAAAATGGACATGACCAAGTAGGTCTGTGCCATCTCCACCATATGAAATTGCAAAAATAAAATGTTTTCAAGCTGTTTATTTACTACATCCTGTAAGTAATGATATCCCTATACATGTTTAAGCAATAAATTATGATTAGATTATGATTAGGTACATTTAATTATATTCATAGGAGACAGCTTTAGGCATTACCTAACCATTACCCTTTTTTTATTTTGTATTGTCAGCTGAAAAATCATTTGCTGATGCTGCCATTCATTTTGAAAATTATATAAGTGATATAATAAAAGAAAGAATAATAGAGATCAGAAATGATTGTAGGCTATTATTCTATCATTATTATTGTATTAAATTGCATCTTTCTTTGCAAATATCCAGCTGTTTAAATGACGCTGGTGCCTCCTCTGGCTGATGGCACCACAGAGAACCACCTAGAAACTGCCCTGCTTAGACCTGCTCATTGTTTTATGTTGCCGCTATTTTTGTTACAGGAATAAGAAGGAGGAGGAGTGGAAGTGGTGATCGCCCTACCAGTAGGTGAATTAAGTATAACAACAGATGAATGCATAACTGCATTTGCTTTGGCTTATTAACTTTCACCCCAAAAAACATAAAAAAATAAAAAATCCAAACCATCCTAGATTTGTGTCAGGAATAGACCAACATTTAATTTCAATATATATTATTCATTATATATTTTATATTATATATTTTTCCGAACATGTTTTTCAGTGTCATTACGGTCACATAGAAAACCCAATCTGAACCTGGTGTTGTGTGGAAGTGATGCAGCTCAGAATGCAGTATCAAAATGTTTCAGAGATGAAAAAACACTTTTCTCATCACATCAAAGAGAGTTTAGATTTGTGTGTCAGATGGAGGAGAAGCTTCACGGCCGTCAGATCACTCTGGTGAAACTTCCAGCTCTCACTTGGCTCTCAGAGGATGACGTAAGGCGTCAGACTCTACGCTGTTTGTCTTTCTGTGATCCCGGAGTTCATGTTTTCCTCCTGATTATTCCTGATGATCCACTTAATAATGAAGACAAAGCAGAAATAGAGAAGATCCAGAAGATATTTGACTCCAGAGAGCATTTCATGGTGCTTTTCATAACAGAGCTCACTGTTAACAAAAGAATTACAGATTTAGTCACATCCAGGCCAGAATCTCAGAGGTTAATCAGTCTCTGTGGAGGTCGATACTGTATGATGGGGATAAATGAACCTGAAAACAGACAGATCCCAGAACTGCTGGATTATATAGAGAACATGAAGACTGAACCGTATTCACTTCAGATGTATGTGAAAGCTCAGGAGAACAGAGTCAGACGGGAAACTGAAGAAAAATATAAAAAAGAACTGAAGAGAATGGAGAATAAAATCAAAGAGTTTCAATTACAGGGTGAGTGTGTAATATTCATACACAAACTAATGTGTTCTTGCTGTTTATGATTTTCATAATGAAGTATTTTAACAAATTATAAGAACAAATTATTTTTACTTTGTTACTGTATACCTAAGTAAATGTTTCATGTGTCTGTTTTTTGGGGGAAAATTTTAGCTTTGCCTCGCTACTTCCAAAGCAAATTTCATACTTTTTACTCCACTACGTTTCATAAAAACATATTATTCCTTCTTATTTTGAACTGAAGAAATCGCAACCTAAATCGAGATGCAATAGTACTGTCCAATTTGTGAATATCGTATGACAGGGATGATGTAAAAACGCAGAAGACTTCATCTCCACTGGTTTCCTGAAGATGTTCATATTTATATAACTGGGTTTTCAGTTTGAGAAATAATAAGGCCTGTGGTAAACGTAACTTGATGATGCTTGACTGTTTAGCTGTAAAAATGTACAATGTACATTTTGAAAATGTGAAAATGTTGTTTCAGATAAATATCTAGATCACACATTTTGGGCTGTGAGTGTGTGCAGTTTACATTGTAGAAAAAAAGAAAAAAAGGTCGTCAAGTTATGTTTACCACAGACACATTACTCATAAATTGAAAAACCCCATTTTAAGAACTTCTAGGTTTTGGCGTCACATCCGCAGCACTCTGTTGGTTGGTTCCTTTACAGTCTGACTGTAGCTGTTCTTGAGTCAACAAATGATTGAATGATTCGGTCAAAATGAACCAAGAACCAAGATATTGTCAGAATTTGAACACGAGCAGAACTGATGGTGCAAAAAGTAAGATACTAATGCTGAATTTTAGCATTGATTATTTTAAATGAAAACCATAATTAGGTAATTACTGTCATTTGTTTGTGTACTTGATCTGCTGTGAAGGGTAAGCTATTTAAGCTCACAGAACTACATGTTCCAGTGTATAGACATTTTGGTAGAAAAACATTTGCTTATTTGCAGATCAATACATATTAAATGCCAGCGATAATCTTTCTTATTAGTACTCTGAAAAAACGGGTTTATTCAAGTCAAAAATATTAAATACACTGAACCAACCTACACATCCACCACTGGACGTGACACTTGAACAAATAGTGCTTGCTGTCAGTGACTTTAAACTGGTGAATTGGATTGATGTCAAAGTTTTAAATGTAAAGTATGTCCAAGTGACAGTTGTTGCAGCTTTCTGTTTTTACCAAACCTTATCCATTATAGCCAGTTTCACACAAGGGTTTTGCACACATGCGCTTAACCCCGGGTTTATTTTGCCAACACTTTTGTCCAAAGCGGCTTACAGATGAGGAATACAATAAGCAATTCATCGTAATGAGACAAATAAACACAAGAAGTGCTCTCGATACAAAGTTCCAGGCATTGCTCAGAGTAGCATAAGCTAAAATAGTAAGGAATTAAAGGAAAGTGAAAGCAGCAGGGGAGCTAACAGAAGGAGGACGTGACTGTGCTTTAGGCACAGGCCTGTTTTTCAGGTCCTGATCTTTAAGCTCTAACTGTCGTAACTTTAAAGCTTGTTTAGTCTCTGCCTCTATAACACGCAACTTGATAAGTAATGTTTCACGCTCCTCTTGTTTAATCCGGAGATATTCAACTCTTTCATTTTGACTGCCAACACAGGGTCAACAGGGTCAACATTAGGAACCTGACATAGCTCCTAATGCCACGTCAGGTGAAATCTCCTACGCCTCCATGGAAGCAGACTCTGGTAAAATCCCAGATTCCACAAGCTTATCATACAACACTTGCTTGATAGTTTTCTTTGCTGCCTTCCTAGGAACACTGATATTAAAAAAGACTTCCTACAATGTTCAAAGTATTCTGTTGTAGGAGATAGAGTGTATGCAATCAGTACCACAGTTACCACAGATACCACAGTTTCCTCACCCACCAAAAACTGCCAAACACAGAATAAAGGAGACTTACCTCGAATAGATGAGACTCTAATTGTCACCAATAGTTTAAAAAAAGTGACAAGCCCCCACTTGTTATGTTCCCCTCCTGTCTAGGGGGTTGGGAGGGGAAGTAGCAAAAGGAAAAGCATAAACAAGTGGAAAAACAAGGCAAAAACGGTGATGTCCTTACATTAATGCACCAATAGATGGCACTCAAGCTTCTCGAGTTAGATATATACATAGGAAGTAAGTGAGAAGAGTAAGAAAATAATTCTGAGTATGTGCATGCATGTTATCCTGCTTGTTCATAGTAGTTATTAAAGTTTCCTAAATTGAATACACAGTTTTGTGCTTCTTGTCTACATGAAGATGTAACAAAAACACACGGTAACACTTTAGAATAGGGAACACTTATTCACTATTAACTACGACTTTTCCCTCAATAAATTCCTAATTTGCTGCTTATTAATAGTTAGTAAGGTAGTTGTTAAGTTTAGGTATTGGGTAGGATTAGGGATGTAGAATAAGGCATTAATATGTGCTTAATTAGTACTAATAAATGGCTAATATTCTAGTAATATGCATGCTAATAAGCAACTAGTAAAGATACCCTAAAATAAAGTGTTACCAAACAAACTTCAGTTCTCTGTCCCAGAGTGAAGGAGAACACCAATTCAGCAATATACAAAAAAAACTAAGTTTTAGTTACAGAAAATAAATGGTAAGTTTAACTTAAGGAGATCGGGAGCAATGGCTCAGGAGAGAGCAAGGCCTAAAGCAACAAACAGAACAGGACTCTAATTTTAGGAGCAGCTCTTACTTACCTCAAATGCAAAGGAAAATACAAATAAACAACAAAAAACTTCCCTCAACTCCGTAACTGTACCAAAAACAGGGACAAAAACAGTATTCAAAGAAGAAGTCACTCTCTCCCTATAGCTTCCCTCTTAAATCATAGCAATATACAAACAAAACGTGATCTTGTAATTATCTGTAACTTAACAAGCAGAACAAGATCAAGTACTACCTCCAGACACTGTTCAGTATTGAAGTTCTATCAGCCACTGTTAATAAACAACCCAGAAACTTATTTACACAAACTATAGTCCACCACAGAACAACTGGACACACTGGACTGCCACAATGTACTCCACTCTCACACTCCACTCCACATATGTCTGATGTTGTGCAATGCAAACCTGCAAGATTGAACAGTTTTTGCAATGTGGTCTTTGAAAATCAGATGGTCATCAAATATTACACCAAGATTTCCAGCAGAACTTGATGGGGTAATTGTTGATGAACCTAGCTGAATGGTGAAATCATGCTGTAAAGCTGGAGTGACAAGGAAGACGAGAAGCTCAGTCTTTACCAGGAATCCCTGAAAGACCTATCTGTGAGATAGGTGAGACAGTGTTAAAAGCGGCAGAAAGATCCAGCAGAATGAGAACTGATGAATTGGAATCAGCTTTCACAATCCACAAGGCTTCAGTGACTGACAGTAATGCAGTCTCTGTTGAATGGCAATCACGAAACCATGGCTTAACATCCACCTGGTTATTTTGTAAAAGAAAAGATGATACCTGTTTGAAAACACCAATTCAGTAGTTTTTGCAATGAATGGAAGGAGAGAGACAGGTCTGTAACTATCTATAAGTGAAGTGTTTAATGTAGGTTTTTTGAGCAGTGGGGTTACCCGAGCCTGCCTCAATGCAGTGGAGAAAGTGCCAGAGCTGAGAGATATGTTGATGATTTGTGTGAGTGCTGGTGGACGTGTAGAAGAGATTGCTTGTAGAAGATGTGATGGAATGGGATCTAGAGGGCAGGTGCTAAGATGACTGGAAAGGAGAAGTTTAGATACTTCTGTCTCAGAGAGAGAAGAAAAGGAGCTGAGAAGATGTGCAGCTGTGCCTGTGGCTAGCCTGTGGAGTTGAGAACTGACTGTTGATGGTTTTAGTTTTGACTGTGAAGAATGTAGCAAACTCATCAGCAGTTAAAGAGGTGGTGGAAAGAGACAGAGGAGAGATTTGCATGTTTTGAAAAGCTTGTGTGTGTTTGAAGCAGTGTTGATCTTGTTGTGGAAATATGAAGATTTTGCAGCATGGACTTCAACAGAAAGAGATGAAGCAGAGATTAATACATACTCAAGTCAGATGAGTTTTTTGATTTGAGCCATTTGCTCTCTGCTGCCCTGAGTTTGGTCCGATGTTCATGAAGAACATCAGGTAACCAGGGGTTAGAGGGAGCAGCATGCACTGACCTGGAGGAGAGAAGACAGATACTGTATTAGACATGAAGTTAAAGTGGAACATAAAGTGTCAGTTACGGAGTTAACATCCAGAGATGAGAATTGTGTGGGTGAGTTTATCGTCACTCTGAACACTGCTTTTAACCCCAGGTAAAGGATTCACACTTGTAATTTAGAAGTGGGGATAGCACTGCTTTTTAACCAGGGTTATGAAACCCTGCTCTGGAGCACTGCTTTTGCAGTGTTAATCCCGAAATGAGGAGCCAGCCTTGTGCAATGTAAAACGGAGAGATGTTACAATGTTACTGCTGGATGCTTAGCAACAGACAACCAATCAGAAATTGGACAGTCTCTCCACTTAAGATAAATTCAAAGAAATACTCATATAATTTGCTGTGTTTTCTTTATCTTTTCTTTTGTCCTTGTTTTCTTGCCTTTGTGCATTTTAGGAGGCTTAAACCAGGCACGGAGGACCTACATGGCAATATGTATTAAATGACATGACAGCTTAACTAATGCAAGAAAAGCTGCATGACACTGCAAATATGCAAATAATGACTTTAACCTTGGATTTAGGAATGCACCGTGTGAAACGGCAGCTCATGAATACCTAGGATTAACTGTTAACCCAGGGTAAAGTAATTGTGAAACATGAAGCACGATAACCAAAGATTCTAGTGGGGATAGCACTGCTTTTTAACCGAAATGAGGAGCCAGCCTTGTGCAATGTAAAATGGAGAGATGTTACAATGTTACTGCTGGATGCTTAGCAACAGACAACCAATCAGAAATTGGACAGTCTCTCCACTTAAGATAAATTCAAAGAAATACTCATATAATTTGCTGTGTTTTCTTTATCTTTTCTTTTGTCCTTGTTTTCTTGCCTTTGTGCATTTTAGGAGGCTTAAACCAGGCACGGAGGACCTACATGGCAATATGTATTAAATGACATGAAGGGTTATGAAACCCTGCTCTGGAGCACTGCTTTTGCAGTGTTAATCCCGAAATGAGGAGCCAGCCTTGTGCAATGTAAAACGGAGAGATGTTACAATGTTACTGCTGGATGCTTAGCAACAGACAACCAATCAGAAATTGGACAGTCTCTCCACTTAAGATAAATTCAAAGAAATACTCATATAATTTGCTGTGTTTTCTTTATCTTTTCTTTTGTCCTTGTTTTCTTGCCTTTGTGCATTTTAGGAGGCTTAAACCAGGCACGGAGGACCTACATGGCAATATGTATTAAATGACATGACAGCTTAACTAATGCAAGAAAAGCTGCATGACACTGCAAATATGCAAATAATGACTTTAACCTTGGATTTAGGAATGCACCGTGTGAAACGGCAGCTCATGAATACCTAGGATTAACTGTTAACCCAGGGTAAAGTAATTGTGAAACATGAAGCACGATAACCAAAGATTCTGTTTAGAATGATCCAGGGTTAATAATTTTGTGTGTGAAAAGCCCTACAGAGATTCCAGAAAGTGCACTGATAATGTGTCCTGGGATTTGTCCATGGATCGTTTGATTTTTTGCTCAGCAAGTAATTACACACAGGGTGAGAACTACGGGGGAGCTAGGGGGAGCTCGGCTCCCCTTAATAAGACATGGGCTCCCCTGAAAACGGGATTTGTGAAATATTGGGGGGTCTCAAAAAATATTGACAATGTGTTATTTTGACGTTTTGTGTAACGTGATCATCGTGGCTTATTATGTGTAAAATTGCAAAAATATCATTCATTCATGCATGACGGCGATTTAAACCTAATTCACTTCAATAAAGATCACTATACATGCTGTTCTTGTCATGAGCATCAAGGTGTGGAGGTGCTGCGGTGCAAATTCCACTCATGTTTAGTACATGTTAACTCAAAGATTCGTAGAAAAAATATAAACGCTGGACTCTGCGGTCAATTCTGTGTTAAGGTAAGGCATGTTATTCGCAATTATGTGTTGTGGCTGTGTTGTTATAGGTCTGCGTGACTCTCGATGTCTTAGGCCTAACTGAACGGAGGAATTATGGTGTTCTTCTGTAGCCTGACGACGAGTAACTTTAACCGTTGTTCATGTGAACTCAAAGACAGCCTGATGCTTTGTTTATAGACTATTTGTGGGTGGCTGTTTGTTGTTTCACCTATAAATTCCTGTAGATAAAGTATAATAAAGGTAAATCCTGTATAGTGATTTATCCTATATAGTGCTTGCATAAAGCAAGTAGTGCATACACTTGTAGCTGTTATGTATCTTTGTAAGTCATTGTAAGCCCTCTTTTGAGGCACGCGCAAGCGCACGAAAAATCCCCCCCCCCCCCCCCCCCCCCACCAAAAACCAACATCTCGCCTATTTTGATAGCTCCGCCCCACACATAAAAAAAAAAACAAGTGGGCTCCCCCAAAGTCAAAGGTATAGTTCGAACACTGATTACACACATCCCGTAAAGATCCCGTAGAGATGCATGACATCAGAATGTGACATGTATTGTCTCCACAGCATTTTTTTTTCCTGATTCAGTCATAAACTAGCACATCACCTACCATTCTAGATGGCAAATGATCACAGCTTCAGCGTCATCACTACAACACACCCCTTACGGCATTGATCCTTCCTTTTTTTTCACACAGGGTGCCTCACTTCTAATATTAGTTTGGCCAAAAAATAGTCCCAATTCAGTTTTTCATGACCATTTTCCACCATCTGTATGACTCAAATTCTACAATTAAATTGTCTTTTATTTTATTTTTGCTGCAGTATCATTAAATCTGTGCACATACCTGCAGTGCTGATTTAGAATTAGACTAGAAAATGTAATAAAATGAGGAACTGTAATTAAGTTTCTTACATTTTGGGGCTTAGAATTATGCACCCATAGACAGTTCATTTTGGAACAGAACAGAAAGTGTGAATGTACATGGAGCGAAGAGGTTCTGTGTTTCTGAAACCTATAAGAAATGGTTCTTTCAGATCATTAATTAATTATTAAAGGTTCAGTTTTATCATTTGCTTTTGTTATCCAGCTTCTGCAATCCTAATCCTTTTAAACTTGTGCACTAGTTTTCAAATAAGTCTTTTTTTTTCTATCAATGTGACTTTCAGGTGCTGAAGGTGAAGCAGATGATCAGAAGTGTCTGAGGATTGTACTGATTGGAAGGACAGGAAATGGAAAGAGTGCAACAGGAAACACTATTCTGGGAAGAGAGGAGTTTCACAGCCGAATGTGCACAGATTCAGTGACGACTGCATGTGAAAAGAGAATTGGTGAAGTTGATGGTCGATCAGTAGCTGTTGTTGATACTCCAGGACTCTTTGACACAATACTGTCAAATGAACAAGTGGTGGATGAAATATTGAAATGTGTTTCTATGTCGTCACCTGGACCTGATGTGTTTGTCATTGTGTTGAGTTTGGGAAGATTCACCAAGGAAGAAGCAGACACTGTAGATCTGATAAAACAGATCTTTGGTCATGAAGCTTCTCAGTTCAGCATCGTTCTGTTCACTAGAGGAGACGAACTTGATGAAGAGTCCATAGAAGATTATGTCAGGCAAAGTAAGTCTACAGAACTGAAGAAACTGATCAGAGAATGTGGAAACAGATTCCTGGCTTTCAATAACAGAGAAAAACAAGACAAAACTCAAGTGATTAAGCTGTTAAACATGATAGAGGAAATGAAAAACAGTAACGAGGGTCGATACTTCACTAACAGCATGTTTGAGGAGGCAGAGATGTCCATTAGAAAGAAAATGGAGGAAATACTGAAAGAGAGAGAGAGAGAGATTGAAATCCAGACCCAGATATTACAAGCCAAATATGAGAGGGAAATGAAAAACATGACACTGCAACTAGAAGAAGAAAAACAAAGAGCAGGTGAGGAGAGAATGAAAATGCAGAATCAAATCAGAAAAGAGAGAAGAGGTAAAGAACTAGCAGAGAAACAAATGGAATATCTTCAGAGACAGAAAACAGAACGTGATCAAATCAAAAAGAATCATGAAGATGAAATGAGGAGGATTCAAATGAAATATAAAGATGATGCTAGAAGAAGAGCAGAAGAAGTGAATGAGTTCAGATACCAAAAAGATCAGTGGATTTGGGATCTCGGTGATAGGCTGGAGGAGCAAGATGATCAGAATGAATTGCTGAAACAATTGTTTGAAGAGTTGAAAGAGGACAAAAAGGGGACAAAGAAGAAAAATCAGAAACCAAAGGGCTGTGTTATGTGTTAATATTTTAATGATTAACTATGAGTCTTAAATAGTTCTTCATATTGTATGTCAAATATAAAATGTCTACTTAACCTGATGCTTTCATTATCAGTTGCTTACTGCATTTGCAATTTTTTCTTTTTTATAGAAATGGGCACATTTGCGTAATTTGTAGTAGATTGTAGTAGACCTCAGTAGATAGTAGATTGTAAAAACCATTGGCACGTCACAATACTTTTGATAAATGTAGCCCTGGGCTATAATTCTCCTTTGCTTTTATGGTGAATTGTAATTTTTGTATCTTTGCAGTGCCTGTTGTAGCCATACAGTGTCATGATTCTGTAAAGCAATATTGTGAAAACATCTACTCTTTCACAGAATCAGTCAGTCATTAGGTTTCGGTAAGGGTGACAGTTTATTCTTTGATTAATTATTCTACTTTAAATAATCACTAAATAATACTGACCTCTATGCAAGAATGTGTCTTTTTAGTCTAAAA